CACGCAAGCTCCCCCCCCCCATCACACGGCTGTGCTTGCACGCCCTCAGCCAAGCACTTGTCTGTCAGCCATTTCTCCTGCTCTTCCCCCTCCTCCCAGCCCTCGGTGTCTGTGCCCCCCGCCCCAGATTAGGGGCTGTACAAACTCTGCAGCCCCAAGTCAGTCCCTGCAGATGACCCTTACACCAGGCCTGGAAGGAGAAAGAGGTCATCTCACGTCCATCCCATAGCCTGTATCTATCTCCATTGGGCCAGGGGACCCGGGGACACACTAACGTAGGTCTCAGACACACCCAGACAGGTTGCGGGCTTTGAGGTGGGGGGCCGGGGAGGGGGCGGCGGGGGCACAGATGGCTGCAGACCCTGCTGCTACGGGGAACCTGGAGCACGCGCACACGCACACACGCACACGCACTCGCCCTCAAGCAATTGCACTCATGCAGCCGGCACGCGAGCAACCCCACAAGGTCAAACCGAGAAGCTAAGGGCCAGCCCCCGCCTCCGCCCCCCGTGGACAAAGCCACCAACGTGCGCCACGGACACCCTTCTTGGACTCAGCAGCCCGCTCTCCCAGACACACCATCACACGGACTGGCCAGGTCAGCCGGCTCGAGGCTCCCCACAGACTCGGCCCCGGGGTGCGGGAGCTCCCCAACTCCCGCGCAGCCCAATGTCATTGCACCCCACAATGTCACACGCGCACACGCAGCGCCCTGCCGACCCCTGCACCTACCCCCATCTTGGCGGCTCCGTGGGAAGAGCGGCGGGCAGGGTGGTGAGCGGGGGCCGCAGGGCGGGCTCAGGCGCGGAATCGGGCTGGTGGGCCTCTGCAGCGGCCGCGCCGCCGTGGGAGCGTGCGTCCGTCCCTCCGTGAGTCCCACCGCACAGAGGCTGCGGCGGCCCGGGCCTCCTCCTCCTCATATGCCCGCGCCCGCGGGGGGAGGCGGCGCCGGCCAATCAGGAGCGGCTCTGAGATGATGGACAGCCCGAGGCCCCGCCCCCGGTACTGCAGCTGTACTCCCCCCCCCCCCGTTCCCCCTGCACCGTTCCAACCTTATCTCTGCAAAGCGGCGACGCCACCCGGGAGCTGAGCACAGTGTGCGCGCGCGCGCGCGTGTGTGTGGGGATCCCGGACACCCCGCGGTGGGTGGTGGACCTCGAGACCCCTTTCAATGCAGGGAGGAACCTCAGGGGTGGGGGCTGTGAGGGAGGGAGCACCCCGGAAACTGTGTCTTTCTGGGAGTCGGGTGGGCACAGGGTATGAAGGAAGCCCAGCGAACTGCAGTAATGCAGGCCCCCAGAGCACCACCATCTTGCAGCACCCCGGGAGTGTGTGCTGGATACTGTCCAGGAAGAGGGTGCTGCAGGAAGGGAAACTGGTGGGGAATAGACAGCAGGCTCCGAAAATTGAGGAGGGGAGCTGCAGAGGCGGAGTCCTAAGACCCTGCTCCCTGCGTCCCCACCCTGACTCTGCTACCCAACGAAATGCCACCGCACACACCACACCAAAGCTAGGACGCTGCAGGAGGCCCCTGCTCCACGGTTAGGCACCACCACCTCCTCTGCACACACCACTCAACAATGTCCCAGTCACACCTTCACACACGACCCCACTGTCCTTCAACCGGAGGCTCAAAAGCCGGTGGGAGGGGAATCCACCGAGAGCGCACAGATCTCGCACCCACCGCATGGCGACAGAACCACAGTCACGACGCGGAGGTGCTGAGAGCCCACGGCCTCAGGACACCACCTCACCGACTCGGCTCGCACACTGCACCACAAGTGACCTTGCACCATCTTCCACGGAGAACCAACAGATTCCTCCACTCGGCACCACCGCACATGACTCAGGATTCCTTGAGGGTACCCACAGGCGCCCCTGCGGACACTGCGTCCCGCACATGCCATCCAACACACCTGCACATACACTGCTGCTCCCCAGTGTGTCAGGGCATGACACACGGTACAAATATTTGCTGTGAATGACAGGTAAAAATCTGCATGTGTGTGTGTGTGTGTGTGTGTGTGTGGCGCGCGCGCCACACACACACACACACACACGACACAAGCATTCAGAACTAAGCCATGGAATACCGTCCCACACATCACTGCACTGTCATGTATAACTTTGTTGCACCTCCAACATCCCAAAGTCCCTACCTACACACCACAACCACAGTGCAGTGTACACACACACACACACACACACACACACACACTCCCATACCCCAGACCTGCCACACACAGGCAACACTCATTGGCTTCCACACTGGAGTCTGGGAAGTCAGAGACTCCGGTCTCCACCCTGATACCACTTCTTGCCTCAGGAGGAACATTCCAGACTCTCCCTGGGGATGCTGGTGGAAGACAGGGGTGGGTAAAGGGAGAGAACCCTGACCAGGAGCTGGGAGTGAGCCCAGTGTGTGGGGTCAGGGTTTGGTGAGTGTTAAGATTAAGATGGTGAGCCGGGCGTTGGTGGCGCACGCCTTTAATCCCAGCACTCGGGAGGCAGAGGCAGGCGGATCTCTGTGAGTTCGAGGCCAGCCTGGTCTACAGAGTGAGTTCCAGGACAGCCTCCAAAGCCACAGAGAAACCCTGTCTCGAAAAACCAAAAAAAAAAAAAAAAAAAAAAACATTAAGATGGTGGCACACGCCTTTAATCCCAGCGCTGGGGAAGCACAGGCTGGCAGATCTCTGTGAGTTCAAGGCCAGCCTGATCTAGATAGTAAGCTCCAAGACAGCCAGGGCTACACAGTGAGACCTTGCTCAAAAAGGAGGAGGAGGAGGAGGAGGAGGGAGGAGGAGGGGGAGAAGGAGGAGGAGGAAGAGAAGGAAGAGGAGGAGGCAGGGAATTCAGATGATCCTGACCTCAAGGGGACATTCGAAAGGCTGAAAATCAGAGGGAGGGACACAGAGACACAGAGAGATGGCCTTGGGCAGGAATAGGTAGGACCACAGTAGAAGCAGGAAGGGGTCTTCCCCGAGCACCTAGAGCTTCATCACAACCCTGTTCTCTGGCCTGTTCCAGTCTCTCCTGCGGTCCCTTGTTGCCATGGTAACAGGGAGGCTGACTCTGCAGCAAAGGAGGTTGGGCCTGCAGATCAGGCTTGTTGCCATGGAGATGAGAAGAAAGAGGAGGAGTCCCCTCTTTCAACTCAGGTGCATTGCTCTCAGACACCCCTTCCTCGAGTCTGTTCCTTACCCCTGGGATGCAGGGACTGTCACCAACATTTATTCATGTGTCTCTCCCCTCTCTCAATACGGAGTCTGTGGTTCATCCACACAGGACAGGGTTAGAGAGGTAGGGAAGGCTGGGGAGGGGGGCCCTAGATCCCAGGAGACACACGCTCTCCTGCCTTCTGGACAGGCTGGGGGGGGTCAGAGCCCTTCCCATGCCACCCCAGAAACAGACTCAAGCTTTGTCATGTAATTCCTTCTCAGACACCAGCCTGGCTAGATTGATGACTGATGCCTCCTGCTCTCAGTGCTCTGCAGAAGTGGGGGGAGGGAATGCTTGGGAAGGTCACCGGGATGGAGGAGGACGGAGGAGCTCCCAGGGAGACAGATACAGACAGGAGCCACCCTAGAGCCAGAGAATATTACAGACACAAGACAGAAGAAGGGATCCGCAGAGATAAAACCAAAAAGACTGTAGCAGACACCGTGTTCAGAGTGACAGACACGGGGAACCTAAGAGAGCTGGGCAGAGGGCAGGTTTGCCAAACATGGAGACGTAGAGATTCAAACGGGGGAGAAGCTCAAATGAGGACAGACCCTAGAAGCGCAGTCTCGTGCTATTGGTACACGGTGGGGGGAGGGGGAGACCAGAAAAATCTGCAATGATAGCCAGGCACTTCAAGAGCGCCCAGCCCCGGGGCAGGGTGATGGATCGGTCTCTTAGATGGGGCTGGCCTGGAGTGGCACTCACAGCAAGAGTCTGAGACACAGAAAAGTGGACACCGAGGACACTGCAGCCTGACACGGAGGTGCAGGGCGGGGGTCTTTGGGGCGTGGCCTTCTGCCAGGGGAACCACGGAAGGCTGAGCAGACCCTGGGCTGCTGCGCGCCAGGCAGGCCGCGGGGTGCTGAAACGGACAGCTCCCCAGTTCCGGTCTAGGCTGAAGGGCGGGCCCAGCCCCTGACCTCAGCAGCCCTGGTCCTCTGCGTCGTTCGGGTCCCCCTCGGCCTCCCTTTAGCTGTCTGTGGCTTCCTGTCTGTCGCCTCGACTCCCGGTGCCCTTTCCCTTCCGTTGCATTTGAGTCCCCGCCACACTGTGTCCCTTTCTGCAATCTCATGGCCTGCAAGAATCTCTCCCTCTGCCCTCCCTCTTCTCGGTCCTCACCCAAGATCTTTTCCCTCTTCCCTATCTGTCTGCTTCCCCCCACCCCCGCTGCTTCGCTCTCCCTTTCCTGCCGGGCCTCGATCTGGCTCAGGCTGCGTGACCTTCAGTCGTCCTTTTCCTCTCCGCGGAAACCTCCGGAGTGGCGAGGAGGGCGGGGACAGAAGGCAGACCCACCCTTCTCCCTGCTCCACCAGCCCTCAGCCCCTTCCCCCTCTGGGCAGGGACAGAAGTTCAAGGATCAGTCACCCTCGAGGGTGGCTTCCCAGGGGTCACAAGCGCGACCCCCAAGTTCTCAGCTCGCTGTACCCGCCCAGTCCCACCCCGCCGCCGTAGGAGCCACCCCAGGCTTTAACGCCAACCGTTCTCAGGCCCTCCCATCCCCCAGCCCCATCTGGTCCCATTCTTTCCGTGTCTTCCCCCCACCCCAGTGTCTCCGCCCTCCCCGGTCCTGCATCTCTCCATCTGTCTCAGGGTCTCTGTCGCAGCCTCCTTCTGTCCCGAGAGAAGGTCAGCGGAGAGGTGGCGGCTGCGGGGACCTGAGCCGACCTGCCCGAGGTGGCAGAGTGTGTAAATCTCTTGCTGTTCTCCGCAGGCTCCCAGGGTCTAAAAACGCCCGTTGATCCCCCCACCCCAAGGAAATGAAACCCACGTGCCCCCCGTTTTGGGGTTTTGTTCTTTTTTTTTTATTCCAACAGGGACTGAGATGTGGCAGGGGGAGGTATAGGGGCCCAACTGACCCTCTCCCTGGGGGCGTCTCATAGAAATTCTGAGGTTTCTCCCCCCAAAAAAAGAGAGAAAGAGAAGAGAGGAGGGGCACCAGGGGACACCCACATGTCCAGAGGCCCTCCCCACCTCCAGAAGTGTGGAGAGCCGTGTCAAGTCTTGGGGCGTCTGGGCAGTCCCAGGCTGGGGTCCTCCCCGCGGACCGTTGCCCAACTCCAGGAGCGGCCCCCCCAGTCTCCAGCCCTTGGAGTCCTCGGTCTCTGCGCTCCTCCCGCCCTCGGCGCGGGGTGGAGTGCGGGCGTCCACGACACCCTCGCTTGAGTCCAGCAGGGGGCGCGGGCCGGCTCCGGAGCCGGGCTGGGGATTCACCGGGTACTGAAGGCAAAACCGCGGCGTCCTGTCCACCTGGGGCGCATCGCGTCCCTGCAGTCAGTGGGGGCGCACGCCCGGCCCGGTCCACGGTCATTCGTGCTCCGTCAGCTCGCGGGGTCCGGTGGGGCCTGGCCGCGGCCGAGGCGGGCTGGTGGCTTCGCCTGGGGTGCCCAGGCCACGTGGGGGGGGGCCCCGGCCCCCGAAGCCCGCAGCGCCTGGATGCGCCTGCACTCCTGGCAGACGCGCACGTGCGTGCAGGGCGTGGGAGCCGCGGGCCGGGGCCCCCCGGGAGGCCCGGGGTCGTCCAGGAGGCGCTGCGGACCCCCGTGTGCGCCCGCGTCCCCGCCCGCGCCGGCCGAGTAGAGCTTGCCGTTGCTGAGTCGCATCTCGCGGACTGCGCGCAGCGACAGCAGGGCCCGACTCGGGCCGCCCGGGCGCCGGCGCCGGCGGGAACGCGAGGTCTTGCGGCAGGACACCGCGTGGCGCAGCTCCTGCAGCATCTCCTGGCACACCGACACCTGGGGGCGGCAGGACGGTCACTGCGGGGCGCTCCACGCCCTCCCCCCGCCCCCACCTCCTTCCTGCACCTCCCCTCCCCTCCTCCCCTCCCAATTTTGTTCTTATTGTTTTCTGTCCCCCCCCAATCCGTCTCTCAGTTCCATCTTTCCTGCCTTTCCACACACTGTTCTGCCCCACATTATTGCAAGACTGACCAGGCACTGATCTAGGGACCCCGAGTTACAACAAAGAATAAAAGAGAAGTCCATGGTCCTTGGGACTTGGGTCAGTGGTAGAGGGCTTACCCAATACGTGTAAGGTGCTGGGTTCCAGCCCCCAGAAATGGAAAGAATAAAAAAAAAAAAAAATAGAGCCCAGCCCTTAAGTATGCAGAGGCAGAAAACAACAAACGGAGCATAAACATTGTCGGATAAGTGCTCGGGAGAGAAACAAAATAGACATAGAGTGTGGATGGGCAGGATACTGACTTCTGGCACAACCCAGACAGGAAGTCCTCAGTGAGACCTCTCGGTGAAGGCCGGCCGGGTGAGCCTCGAGATAAAACACCCGGGGCGAGCACTGCAGACAGAAATGCAGCAGAGGTGCTGGGGTGGGGCCTGGCTTGGGAGGAATCGGAGAGGAGGAGGAAAGGAGGCAGGCCCGAGGGCGGGGACCAGCTGGGTAAGGACATTAGACCATGACTAGGCTCTTGGTTTACTCCAGGGTCCAACAGGAGCCACAGGAGAATTGAAGCTGACGGCTTTCATGGGGCAGCTTGGGCTGTGCAGAGAAGGGACCGTGGGACAGAGCCAGGGTGAGCAGGGAGCCCTGCAGGGAGGCTGCGGGTAGAATCCCTGCCAGGACAGGCTGGAGCAGAGGGGCGTGAGAGGCCTCTGGGCTGCCCTGTGAAGGCAGAGCCCACATGGTTTGCTGAGCAATGGTGGAGGGGAGGAAGGGGGGAGGAAGGCCTATACGTAGCCTCTGCCTCGGGGAGAGGGAGGAATGCGAGCTGGGACACTTGGCACCGTGCTTCCTTGCTAGACATCCAAGTGGGACACCATCACAGACTTTGGAGACAGGCCCGCGTGAATTACATGGTGAGTTCAGGGCCAGCGGGGGCTACGTAGCAAGACCCTGTGTCCAAAATGGCTCGGCCACTGAGGCTGGTGACCTAAGTTCCATCTCTGGGCCCCACATGGTGGAGGGAGAGAACAGACTCCCCGAAGTTGACCTCTGACCTCCACACTGGCATCCAAGCTCACAGATAAAATAAAATGAAGAAAAACCAAACAAATAATTATTCTTGGGCGGGGGTAGGGGACGCACACCTAGTGTCTATGTTCCACCCTTGGCGGTGGTCCTCTCCGACATTACGTCAGGATGGCGCTGAGTGACAGGATGGGACCAGACTCTCTCATTTCTCTCCTGCCTTGCTCTCTCTTGGATGGCTTGCCCTGGGGGATGTGTGGTGCCTGGGCAGGAGGGCACTTAGCAACCCCGCAGAGAGGCCCTCCTTCGAGGAACAGAGGCCTCCTGCCAGCTGCCACTAAGTGTATGCATTATGCTTTTAATTTCTGTCTCAGGATGTTTGATGTCCTAGGATCCTACAGGCTGGTGGAAGGCTGTCCCTCCCAGAACCAGCAGAGGGCTGAGCCTCCCTTCACAACAAACCAAACAGCAGTGAATCCAGAGAGACCTGGGGTTGCAGACCTGTGACCCCAGCCTCTTAGGAGGCTGAGGCAGGAGGACTGCAAATTTAAGATCGTCCTGGGCTAAGGGATGAATCTGAGGCCGGACAGAAAAACTTAGTAAGACCCTGCCTTAAAATAAAAGGTAAAAATAGGCCCGGCGGTACTGGCGCCACCTTTAATCCCAGCACTCGGGAGGCAGAGGCAGTTGGATCTCTGTGAGTTCGAGGCCAGCCTGGTCTACAGAGTTCCAGGACAGCTAGGGCTATTCCACAGAGAAACCCTGCCTCAAAAAACCACAGTAAATAAAAAAGTAAAATAAAATAAAACGTAAAAATACGGCTGAGGATACAGCTCATTGGTAGAGCATTTGGCTAGAAACTACCAGTGAAGGCTTCATGGAAGAGCATTTGCCAGGCAGGTGTGAGGCCCTGGGTTCTATCCTTAATACCACAGATACAAAAAAAGAGACAGCCCCCATGTTCCAGGTCCACCAACATGATTCAAACCAGCTGGTGCCTCCTTTGTCCTTCCCGTATCCTAGATTCGCTGTCCCACCCTGCTGCATTTACTCTCTGCCTTGTCTTCTCCAGGGAAGCCATAATGAAGACTGGTCCAGCCGCTTCCTCACCCAGCCCTCCTTTCAGGGATGAGAACTGCCTCGTAATGGCATAGTCTTAGACGGGTGTGGTGGGGGGGCTCCTGCAACGCTACTGCTATGGTGGAGGCTTCACCCCAGCCCCTGGCATCCGTAAACCCAAAGAGTCTGGGATGTTCTGGTGGAGGTTCCACCCAAGCCCCCTCCCCCATCTCCCTCCAAACCCTGCTGCAGCTCAGAAAGCTCCACCCCCAAATGATGACCCCTCCCCCAGAGATGCTCAAGACCACTCCCCCAGAGTATTTAAGCTGCCCCCCCAGAAAACAGATTCATGGTTTTCCGGTCTCCTTTTCCCGTCTCCTCTCTGGGGAACTGGAAGGTCCCCCCCAGCGAGGGGGCGCATTAAACGTTGGCTTTTTCCAATTCGGTTTGATTTGGTCTGATTTGGATTGCTGCATTGGCGGAGAGGCTTATCAGGGTGTAGAAACTTTTCAGCTACCACTTGAAAGGCTGGGGCAAACTGTAGCAATTTTCCTGCCTCAGCTTCTCAAGGGCTGGGATTACGAAGCCACTATGCTTCATCTGTCTGTCTGTCTGTCCCTCTCTCAAACAGGATGTCGCGTGGCTCAAGCTGGGCTTGAACTCACTGTGTGGATGAGGACAGTCCTGAAAGGTTGATCCGTGCGTGCGCACGCCTCTGCCTCCGGAGGGCGCCACCGCCCCAGCTGCTTCTTTGGTAGCCTCTGGGGTCCTCCGCACCCTTTCTTTGGGGGGTCCTTGAATTCTCGTGGCTCCCCGGGCTCTCCTTCCCTCCCCTGTCCTCCCTCATACCCTTGAGTCCTTGTCTAGCCCTCTGATCTGTCACCTCTGCTGGGACCTCCTTTACCCAATCAGGAGTTCCTCCCTTCCCTCCCTGACCCCTCCCTACCTCTTACACCCCCTCCCCATCACCCAAGTGCCACCCACCACTTGGGGGGTCTCCCCTGCTGCTCCCCCAGCCACAGTCAGTCTCCTCACCTCCTCGGACTCGGCTGACCTCCGAGTGGACCAGATGAATTCCATGACCGCCACGAAGACGGCAATGATGAGGCCACAGATGAGCACGACAAAAATCCCTCCAATGTTCTCCATGCCCAGACCTGGGGGGCGGGGACAGCCGGGGCATGGGCCGTGTGGGCGTGGGCCCACGGGGTCTCTGGGGAGGAGCGGGCACGGGCCCACGGGGTCTCTGGGAGGAGCGGGCACGGGAGGGCGGCTGACCTTTGGCCCTGTGGTCCTCCTCCTTGGGGCACCGGCTCCCTTCCCACCACTTGCGCTTTAGGATCTCCAGCCTGTTGTTCTCTTGGAGCTGCAGGATGGCCAGCGTGATCTCATCCCGGAACGGGGAGCCTGGCCGGGCACACGAGGGGATCGCCGTGAGCCCCGCTACCCCAGACCCCACCTGCCCTGCCCCTCCCGTGACCTCATCACACAGTAGCCGAGGAGGAGGTCAGGCCGCTCCAAGCTGACTGCAGCTAGGATGAGGTTCTCATCCCTAGGAGCCCCTCCCTGCTCGAGGCTCACCCAGCGCATCCACAAAGCCTCTGCCAGGCAAAGCCCTGCTCTGCCCGAACGCCCTTTCCCTCCTCTCCCTCAGGGCTCTGCCCACACGCTGGCTCCTCGCGAGTCTCCCTGGGCCAATTTATTCAAAATGGCACCAAGTCCTCCGCTGCCTGTCAGTCTCTACCACCTCTGTCCCCAGCACATGTCACCGCCTGCTGCAATAGGACATGACTGTCTGCGGCCTGGTGTGCCTGCCGCCCGGAAGGGCACAGAGCAGTCGGCTGAGTGGACCCCGTCCTCCACTTCTGCACCCCCCTCCCTCTATGCGCTCGCTCTCTCCTACTGCATGCCAGGCAGGAGAGAGAGAGGGCAAGCAGAGAAGGTTAATGCTTAGCGGGCGCCCAGGTCTCACTGTCAGAGAAAACAGTATCGAGGTTTGGAGACAAACTAGTGTTTGCGTTCCTAGCACTGGGCACTGAAACAGTGTATCCTGAAGCATACCCTGTTCCTCCTGCTTTTTCTGAGTCTCTGCTGTGAGCGGGCGGGGGGGATGGGGAGGTGGGGGATGAGGGGGGTAGGGGGTGCAGGCTAGGTGTAAAGAACATGAAGCAAAGACAGCTAAGTCATAGGCGAGCATGGAGACACAGCCGAGCATGGAGACACAGCCGAGCATGGAGACACAGCCGAGCATGGAGATACAGCCGAGCATGGAGATACAGCCGAGCATGGAGACACAGCCGAGCATGGAGACACAGCCGAGCATGGAGATACAGCCGAGCATGGAGACACAGTCGAGCATGGAGATACAGCCGAGCATGGAGACACAGTCGAGCATGGAGATACAGCCGAGCATGGAGACACAGCCGAGCATGGAGACACAGCCGAGCATGGAGACACAGCCGAGCATGGAGACACAGCCGAGCATGGAGACACAGCCGAGCATGGTACAGATGGCCATGACACAACTGGGCATGGTGATACAGGTGAACAATGGTGACACCTGTACTACATGACCCTAGTACAAGGAACGAAGACCTGGGAGGATCAAGAATTTCAAGATCATCCCCGCCTACAGCCTGACCCACTGACGGTGAACCCTTGCCTCACAGAACTAAAAAACAAACAAACCTAAACCCTGTCTCACAGCGCACGTTTCCTGAGGTGTACACGTAGTCACCTCAGCTCTCGTGATATCCCCGCGGCTGGAGCTCACTGGCCTCTAGGCTTACTTTTCACATGCTTAAAGCACAGAGGCTGGGGACGGTGTCCGCACCTGCCCAGGGCCCATGGCCAGGCTGCTTGTCTGACACAAGGCCTGGGATGGTCCAGGGCTCCCCTGCACACATGGTTACTGTGCGTCCCCGTCTCCCCCACATTCCAGGCTCAGCCACGCTTCCTCCTTCCTACCCAGCGGCATGCCGATGCCATAGCCCTTGGTGTCGAGGAGGCCCCCGATCTGAGTGAGGTTGCAGTTGAGGCGCCGGTGGTACTCGTTCATGGTGGACTCCAGGAGGAAGGCGTAGCGGGAGTTGAGGACTCGGGCGATCCCTTCCTCCGTGCTCTTGACGAACACGCTAGGCTGTTTCGATTGCATGTAGTTCCACATCCGCTGGTACGTCTGGTACCGCGAGTTCTTGGCGGAGGGAGTATGGGAAGATGGGTGAGGGTCACTGACGGTTTCCCTTGAGCCCTGTCCCCCCCTTCCACATACTCAATAGTGAATTTTTCTCACCTTGTAGCTCCCCCTCCTTCCTCCTGACAAATCTCATCCCTTGGCCCAACCCTGCCGCAGCCTCCCTGACCCTGCTCCTCCGGAACCGCCCAGGACTGGCTCAGTTAGATTCCCGTCTGCCTCCATGCTTCCAATCACCAGAGGGAGGTCAGTGTCTCCCAGGCAGCAGTTCCCCTTGGCAGCTGGCCAGGCACGGCCACTGCCCTCACGCCCAGCCTGGGATGGTCCTGGGTGCCCCACCTGGAAGAAGGTCATGGTGGAGCCGGCGTGGATAGTGCCATACTCGATGTTGGTCTGATCCGCCAGGTCGTCGGCCGATTCCACGGGCACCTCCATGCGCTGCACCGTGAGGAAGGCCGCCAAGTTGGCCGTGTAGGAGGAGATGATGATCAAAGTGAACGCCCACCTGAGGGGTGGGAGGCGTGAGCTACAAGCTGGGGCCAGCTCTTGCACCCTGACCTGTAACCACGGCCCCCTCCTGACCCTTGACCTCAGTGGCTTTGATCTTCAACTAGCTCAGTGCCTGCTGGTTAGGGCAGAGGCCAGGAATGGGGCTCTGGAGCTTGCCTCGCTGGGCTAAGTACAGCTTCCAGAAACTTCTGACTCTAGGTATAAGAGGGGAAGGTGGTCTGGGAATACACTCTCAATGTAAGCAGCTAAAAAAGCTGGACAGAATAGAGAAAATACATACAGTATAGAGAATAGAACTAGTCACAAGCATGCTAGGCAGGGGCTCTACCACTGAGCCACGCCCCCAGCCCCTCACTGGGGATTCTAGGCCGGGGCTCTACCACTGAGCCACCCTCCAGCCTCTTACTGGGGAGATTCTAGGCAGGGGCTCTGCCATTGGGCTACATTCCTAGCTATATTTAGGAAAACATATCTATATCAACCTATATATTTTTCAGTGCATGAGTGGTTTTTTGGGGGGGTTGTTTTGTTTTTCAAGACAGGGTTTCTCTGTATTGCTTTGAAGGCTTTCATGGAACTTGCTTTGTAGACCAAGCTGGCCTTGAACTCACAGAGATCCACCTGCCTCTGCCTCCCGAGTGCTGGGATTAAAGGTATGCGCCACCAACTCCTGGCTTTGTATGAGTGTTTTATATCATGTATGTGTGTGCATCATGGACATGCAGTGCCCACGGAGGCAGAAGAGGGAAATGGATACTGGGGAGCTGGAATTTCAGGTGTGTATGAGCCACTCAAGGTGGATGCCAGGAACCAAACTTCAGACCTCTGGAAGAGCAGTCAGTGCTCTTAACCACTGAGCCATCTCTCAACCCCATATTTTGTTTACTTGCTTGTTTTTTGAGACAGTGTTTCTCTGTGTAGCCCTGGCTGTCCTGGAACTCACTTTGCAGACCAGGTTGACCTTGAACTCACAGAGATCCACCTGCCTCTGCCTCCCGAGTGCTGGGATTAAAGACGTGTGCCACCAATGCCTGGCACCTCCCATATTTTAAACTTGAGATAGCATCTCATGATGTTGCCCAAACTGGCTTTGAATGTGTTGGCTTGAATTCAACACATCCCTGTCTCAGTGCACTAAACAGCGGAGGTTACAGGCCTATGCTCCCAGGGCCAGCCTCCAGAGGAAAACATCTTCAGATGGAGGCCCCAATAGGCACCGTGGGGCTCTACACATGGTGAGTCTGGCTTTTGTCTCAGCTATGTGACTGTATTTAATTCATAAACTAAGCTACAGGGGAGGAAAAAGCTACAATCCTGGAAGTTGAGGCGATGGAGACGGGGCTTCAATAGGAGTGCAGATGACTGGGATTTTGTCCATAGAATATGCAAAAGAGGCACACACAGAGGGTGTTCCTGAAACACAGGGTTCACTTGAGCCTCTGCTGAATATCAGTGTGTGTGTGGGTGAGGTGAGACCCCAGGAGGACAGACAGGCTCCTCTCAAGCAAAGAACAACCCCACAGAGTGCACACAGGGCGGAGAATCTTGTGAGCTCCTTCTAAGCAGAGGCATTCGGTAGATCCAATAATAAGCACATGGGAGGGCTGAAGAGACAGAGGACATGGGTTTGACTGACATGGCGGCTCACAACCATCTACGACTCCGGTTCCAGAGGATCTGATGCCCTCTTCTGCCCTTTTTGGGTACTGCACACATGTGGTACACACACCACAGGCAGGAAAAATAACCATCTACATGATATAATCAAATAAAATTTCACATACGCACATGTGCGTGCACACACATACACACACACACACAATGATCCAGGTAGACTGGAATAAAATGATGGGCAAGCTATACACCATGTAAACACTAGGAATCCGAAAGTTGTAGTGTAATATTAAGTTCAGAACAAACACGGAGGGCAGGAAGGAGATACAAGGTCTGAGAGGGCAATACAAGGTCTGATGACAGAGGGGACAGAACAAGAGGAGCAATTCCAGGTATCAGTGCCCATAATTACAGAACTTTCAAAACTCACAGCAGGGCTGGCAAGAGACAGCTCAGGGAGTCAAGGTATTTGTCACCAAGCTGGCCTTGAACTCACAGTGATCTGCCTGCCTCTGTTTCCCAAGTGCTAGGACTAAAGGCGTGTGCCACCACTGCCTGGCAATAAAGAAATTTTTTAAAAACGTTATAAAGTCTCAAAACGAAGTAAAAGTTATAAAGCAAAAACTGATTCCACAATGGAATGCTTGCCTACAATCCCTCAGTGAGGGGCTGGGGTGTGGCTCAGTGGTAGAGCCCCTGCCTAGAATCCCCCAGTGAGGGGCTGGGGTGTGGCTCAGTGGTAGAGCCCCTGCCTAGAATCCCCCAGTGAGGGGCTGGGGTGTGGCTCAGCTGTACAGAACCTGCCAGGAATTCACCAATGAAAGGCTGTGAGTTTAGCTCAGTAATAAAGTATTGTTCTAAGGCTCTGGGTTCTAACCTCAACGAGAGAGAGACAGAGAGAGAGAGAGACAGAGAGAGAGAGAGAGACAGAGAGAGAGAGAGAGAGAGAGAGAGAGAGAGAGAGAGAGAGAGAGAGAGAGCACAAACCCAAAGCAGTGAGACAGCGCACTGACAGCTGAAGAACACAGGGTTCTCCAGGATCGCGGGGAGACACTCCGTGCGATTTCCTTCTCTGTGGACGACAGGACAGTCGGACAGAGAACCAGCGAGGAGGCAGAAGCCGAGGACAACAACCTCAAACCACTGACACTCAATAGCATTTCTAGAACATTTCACCCAGCAGCGTTGGACTCCACCTCCAGGGCAAGCGCAGGGAACGTTTCCCGAGAGAGCGAGTGGTGAAATAAGTCTCAATCAATTTAAAAGGAGTAGAGTACTACAGAGGATGCTCTCCAACCACAATGGAAGCGAATTGGAAATCAGCAACAGCAAGAGCTGGAAAATCCCCAAGTCCTGGCTCTACCGGCAGCTAGTTGGGTGACCTTGGGGCCTTGGCGTCCTCACCTGGGTGGGTCACATCATTGCTGGCTCTTCCACACTGGGTTTGATGAAGAGCGGGCTAACCTATAACACAGGACGCGCGAGGCGAGTGTTTACTGTCACTGTCTTAGTGACATTGCCTGACTCAGGAAGGAGAAGAGGTACCCAATGGGGTTGGCTGCCATTTGTTATACCCTGGCCTCACTCCTGCCAAGTAAAAGTGGCAAGGCCCTCTTACAGGCCACAGACCCCAGAGGGCCTCCCTGACCCCATTGGCTCCTTAGCAGGCATTAACGAGAACAGGCCACTGGCCTCTGCCTAGCGTATGCGCGAAGGTTCTGGGTTGGGGCTGAGTGGACAGAAGGGTAAATAATATAGTTTCCTACAGAAAAAAAAAATCTCTAAGCTGGGCGTTGGTGGCGCACGCCTTTAATCCCAGCACACGGGAGGCAGACGCAGGCGGATCTCTGTGAGTTGGAGGCCAGCCTGGTCTATAAGAGCTAGTTCCAGGACAGCCTCCAAAGCCACAGAGAAACCCTGTCTCAAAAAAACCAACCCCCTCAAAAAAAAAAAAACCAAAACCAAACCAAAACAAACAAAATAAACCCAAATCTCTAACCCTGACATGATGCCCGGGGACTGACAATCTCTCTGGGAACTGAGTTTCTCCACACCCACTTCATAGGCTAATGTTATTCACTATCAAGAAACGACCCAGTGGCCGCCTAGCAAGTAACAGGTGCCAGGCTGTCCCTTGAGACTGCAACATGGCGGACAGGAAGTGGTGACAGGCACAGGGAGACAAGACTGGCTGTCACTGAGCTATGATGGACAGGGTAAATTTGGGCCTAGCTGTTACTACCCGAGAGAATCAGCCCAAGCTGGCTGGATACGCGAAAGGCTCGGATGGGGAGTCTGTAAATGAGCAGCCCTGGCCCAGTGCATTCAGGAGTGGCCTGCAGTGGGGACATTCGTCTTGAGGTGCTTCGCGTCAGGTCGAGTGTGGGGGCACTCTGTTAGTTGTCCTGGTTTCTGCCAGTGGGCAGGCTGACAATTCAAGGCCTGGCCTGAACGACACAATTCCCAAAGCCTGACGCATTCGTGGAGGGAGCACACGCATTTCTTGCATGGTCACGGTATAAACTGACTCTCCAGAGTGTGGCTCTCACTCGGCTTAAGGGCTGGATGCCGTTGTGTGGGGAACTGCGGAAAAATGCTCACCATTTCTGGAAGTCACATTTAGGACAGCGATTCCGGCGGTGTTTGAGTCACCAAGTCAAGATGCTCGGGACAGCTGCATCAGTTCCCGGTGACTCACACCGGCACCAGCGTGTCCCTTTGCCAACTATTTCTCAGTGTCAAACTCTGAGCGTTAATGATGTTCCAATCAATGACCTTACTTCTCGGCATCCCAAATCGACTCATTCCAAGCAGACGTCCCCTGCCTCGTCTCTGCCCGCTGACATATTCACACACAAGCACTTGCTTTATTGCTCTTACATTCCCAGTTGCAAATCATATCGCCTAGCCGGGCATGACGGCGCATGCCTTTAATTCCAGCACTGTGAGTTTGTGGCCAGCCTGGTCTACACAGTGAGTTCCAATACGGACAGGGCTACATGGTGAGACCTGTCTCAAAAAACAATAAATCACACAACCTTCTTTTTCTCATTACAACTAGAGCACTGTTTACAAAAAAAAAAATCTTGTGTGTCTGTGCATGTGAGTGCAGTGCCATTGGAGGCCACAAGAGGGTGTTGGATCCCTAGAACTGCAGTTCCAGGCAGTTGTGAGCCTACTGAATTGGGCGCTGGGAACTGAACTTGTGTCTCCTGCAAGAGTGTTATATGCTTTCTTAATCATGCAACCATCCCACCAGCCCTACAAATATTGAATATCAACCAGCCGTGGTGGCGCACACCTTTAATCCCAGCACTCGGGAGGCAGAGGCAGGCGGATCTCTGTGAGTTCGAGGCCAGCCTGGTCTACAGAGCGAGTTCC